TCTGTCTACCAATAAGCACTATGCCTTGTACCACCTGCTGCCCTCTTGACTTCAAAGCCACCTGTGAAAATTCAAGATGGCTGCATGGTGAGATCAGCCATTTCTTTTCTGTTTTTGTTTTCTCCTTCATGTGTCTGTTCAACTGCTTCTCCTAGTGGTCCAGTTTTCAGGCAAGCCATAGATAGGTTTCTAGGGGGTTTGGGGACAACAATATTAGCAAGGTATGCTCACCATGGAATGGTCAATCATTAAAATCAAAAGGGCAACATACAACATACGCCTAAGGATAAAGTTGAGAAGGGATAGGAAGGTGGGTGGAATGCTAACAGGGAGGAGTTGGGATAACTGTTGTTGCGTGGAGGGGACTGTAATCACTGAGATGAAACAAAGTATGCATTGTTGAATGTACAGCTGATGATCTTGTTGGCAAACCTTCACTCAATTTACAATAAAAAGGTTTTGTTTAAAGAGAAAAAAAAATCATCAAAGAAAAAAAGGAATTTAGTTAAACATATCATATGAGTTTTGTCATTCTGCCTATTTATGTGGGTTTTTAAAAAAATAAAGTTTCTACAGTGAGTAAACATTATTTGTGTAATAAAGAAATTTTTAAAAAGAAGACTGCTTGCTGCTACACCAGCATCCTGTAAAAGTTGCCACGGCACTCAACAGAGAGATGGACTAGGGAATGGTGCGATGGGGAGAGTGGCAAAGATCCCGTTCCTCTTTTAAATGTTGTTGTTTCTGTTGGGTGCCCTCTAGTGAATTCCAACTCATAGTAACCTTACGCACAGCAAAACGAAGCACTGCCTGGTATTGCAGCATCTCACAATTATAGGTTTGTTTGAGCCCACTGTGCCAAACCATCTCATTGAGGGTCTTCCTCTACTTCACTGATCCTTCACTTTACCAAGCATGGTATCTTTCTCCAGGCACTGGTCCCTCGTAATAATATGTCCTAAGTATGAGATATGAAGTCTGGCCATCTTGGCTTCTTAGGAACATTCTGTCTGTACTTCTCCCAAAACCGATTTGTTTGTTCTTTTGGCAGCCCATGGTCCTTCTAATATAACTCAAATGCAGCAATTCTTCCATGGTCTTCCTTATTAATTGTCCAATTTTCACATGCATATGAAACTGTTGAAAATATCATGGCTTGGATCATGCACACCTTAGTCGTTAAACTGACATCTTTGTTCTTGAACACTTTAAAGAGGACTTGTGTAGCAGATTTATCTAATGAAATACGTCATTTGATTTCTTGACTGCTGCTTCCATGAATGCTGATCGTTGAGCTGAACAAAATGAAGTCTTCGACAACTTCAATTTTTTACCCCATTGTTAAGAATGTTGTTTATTAGTCCAGTGGTGAGGATTTTTGTTTTCTTTACATTGAGGTGCGACCCATACCGAATGAAGGCTGTGGTCTTTGATCTTCATCAGTAATTATTTTCAGTCCTCTTCAATTTCAGCAAATAAGGTTGTTTCATTCGCATATCGCAGGTTGTTAATGAGTCTTCCTCCAATCCTGATGCCACGTCCTTCTTCATATAATCCAGCTTCTTGGATTATTTGCTCAGCATACAGGTTGAATAAGTATGGTGAAAGAATACAACCTGGTGCACACCTTTCCTAATTTTAAACCATTCAGTATTCCTTTGTTCTATTTGAACAACTGCCTCTTGGTTTATGTATAGGTATCTCATGAGCACAATTAAGTGTACTGAAATACTCATTCTCTGAAATGTTGTCCATAGTTTGTCATGATCCACACAATTGAAAGCCTTTGTGTAGTCAATAAAACACAAGTAAACATCTTTCTGGTCTTCTCTGCTTCAGCTAAGGTCCATCTGATGTCAGCAATGATACCCCTTATTCGATGTCTTCCTCTGAATCCAACTTGAACCTCTGAAAGTTCCCTTCAGTGTACTGTTGCAGCCATTTTTTAGTTATCTTTAGTGAAATTGTACTTGCATGCGATATTAATGATATTGTCCAATGATTGCTGCATTCCATTGGGTCACCTCTCTTTGGAATGGGCACAAATATGGATCTCTTCCAATCAGTTGGCCAGGTAGCTGTCTTCCAAATTTCTTGGTATAGATGAGTGAGTGTCTCCAGTGCTGCCTACTTTGTTGAGAGATTTGAATTCATATTCCATTAATTCCCAGTTCCTTGTTCTTTATCAATGCCTTCAATGTACCTTAGATTTCTTCCTTCAGTATCATTGGCTCTTGATCATATGCTACCTCTTGAAATGGTTGAACATTGACCATTTCTATTTGGTACAGTGACTCTGTGTATTCCTTCTATCTTCTTTTGATGCTTTCTGTATCATTCAATATTTAGTGCATAGAATCTTTCAATATTGCAAATCGGGGCTTGAATTTCTTCTTCACTTTCCTCAGCTTAAGAAATGCTGAGCATGTTCTTCCCTTTTGGTTTTCTGACTCCAGACCTTTGCACATTTCATTTTAATACTTGACTTTGTCTTCTTGGGCTGCCCTTTGAAATATTCTTTTCAGCTCTTTTACCTCCTCATTTCTCCCTTTTGCTTTAGCATCTCTGGGCTGGAGAGTACATTTCAGTCTCTTTTGACATCCATTTTCATCTTTTCCTTGTCTTGTCTTTTGTTTTTCTTTCCCAACATGTGGTTTTATGTTTAATATAGCTCTTCTCACCATGGGGGAATTCATCAGATAACCTATCTAAAGGTGTTTGTTTGTTTGTTTGTTTTTAAATAAAAAGTGTATCTTCTCTCCATTTCAATGTTCAACATAAAGACTTTAATATTAAATTACTTCCCCATTTCAATATTAGATACATTGAATATATTTTTGAAAACTTTCTTTTCCCCAAAGATTTTAACGCACCACACTGCATACGTAAGCACAGTATTAATTGGGACGTAACAAAACACGTAACAAAACAGTGACAAGACGGAGAAAGACTCCTCTGATTCAGGAGGCAGCAATTATAGCCAACAATGGCGATTTCCCAGGATGCTGTGCGAGGGATTCCTGCTTCCTACATCCTGAGCTCAGGGACTGCTAAATAAGAAGATTTCAGTCATCTTTTTCTTTCTTCCACTTTCTTTGCAATTATCAAATATGAACTACAGTTTTCACTTTACAGTACATTTTTAAAGCAAAAAATGTCTTTTTCTCCTCTTTTGATTTACATTAATTTGTTTCTGTTTAATGGGAAACATCTAAAAGGTGAAATGATGTGATTTACTATGTGTTTCTTGGGAAGTTTCAGACATCAAAGCTCAGTTTTAACTTCAATAGTTAAAAAGGGTTTCAGAGTGAGGTCTGATTCTGAAGGGCCTTCAGAATCACATCTGTCCATTTCTCTTTTGTGCATAAACCCTGTTGTTGTTAAGTATTGTCGAGTCAGTCCTGACCCACAGCGACCCTATATAGGATTTCCGAGGAGCAGCTGGTGAGTTTGAACCGCTCAACTTGTGGTTCAAACTCACTTCGCAGTCCAGCACATTAACCCAGGGCACCACACCAGTACTCTATGGACCCCTAAACAGGCACAAATGCCCATGATGCTAAGAGCTACACCTAACAGAACAATTGCTAAGATTGTTCTCCTGCTTCAAGACCAGCCAACACCATGAGCAGTGAAATCAGAACTAATAACAACTGTGTTGAAACTGAGGCCCTTTTGCTGGCGTCTTAGATGAATGGATCTTTAGGGTTGATGGTTCCAAAATAAAAGGTGTGCATATAGAAGTCTATCTAATTTTAAAGTACTCCATCGTTGGAGCTCCACATGCTAAGGCTAAGAGGTTCCACGTAACACCGCTTTCCAGGAAGCAGCCATCACAGGAATCCTCCTTGTCTTCTTCGTAACTTTGTTTTCTTCCTGTAGTGTAGTGGTTACGAATCGGGCTGCGAACCTTAAGGTCAGCGGTTCGAAACTACCAGCCGCTCCGCGGGAGAAAGATGAGGCTTTCTACTCCCGTAAGGATTTACACCCTCGGAAACCCTGTACAGGGTCGCTATGGGTCGGAACCGACTCGACGGCACTTAACAACAACAACAACATGATGCTCTTCATGTCATTCCACAGCTCTTTTGGTCTCTGGTCATTAGTGTCTAATATGTTGATTCCGTTCTTAAATGGGCTCTAAATTCAGAAGGCATATGTTCAAGGTCATATTTTGACTCTCGTTGACTTGTTTTCATTTTTTTCAGCTTCAGAATGAACTTGCATATGAGCAATTGATGGTCTGTTTGACAGTCTGCCCCTGGCCTTGTTTTGGCTGATGATATGGAGCTTTTCCACCGTCTCTTTCCACAGATGTAGTCAATTTGATTCTGTATATTCCATCTGGTGAGGTCCATGTGTATAGTCATCTTTTATGTTTTTTAAAAAGGTATTTGCAATGAAATCATTGGTCTTGCAAAATTCTATCATATGATCTCCAGCATCAGTTCTGTCACCAAGGCCATATTTCTTTGTTTTTCCTCTTTGTTCTCAACCTTTGTATTCTAATCGCCAGTAATTATCAATACATTTTGATTGCATGTTTGACCAATTCCTGACTGAAGAACATGTAATGAAGCAAAGTATATGACTTGTTCAGTGTAAAACTGATGATCTGCTCTGTAAACCTTCACTCAATTAAAAAAAATAACAAACAAACAAACAAAAACAGGAAGGAAGGAAAAGACCAAAATGGATGTCAGAAGAGACTGTGAAACTTGCTCTCCAGCACAGAGATGCTAAAGCAAATGGAATAAACAACGAGGTAAAAGAGCTGAATAGAAAATTTCAAAGGGCAGCTCAAGAAGACAAAGTCAAGTAGTATAATGGAATGTGTGAATCTGGAATTTTAAAACCAAAAGGGAAGAACATGCTCAGTATTTCTCAAGTTGAAAGAACTAAAACGAAAGATCCAAGCCTTGACTTGCAATATTGAAAGATTCTATGGACAAAAAAATTGAATGATACAGAAAGCATCAAAAGAAGATGGGAGTGTGATCATGGCGGGGCTGCTGAAGAAGACCACTGGCCTGGTGGCGTTGGCTGTATGTGACAGTCCGCACGAGAGACTAGGGATATTATATATACAAAGATCCTTGATGTTCTCGAGCAAATGCCTAAAACTGCAGCCTATAGAAAGTATACTGAAGAGATTACAAATGAGAAGCTAAATATGGTGAAAGCTGAGCCAGATGTTAAAAAATTAGAAGATCAACTTCAGGGTGGACAAATTGAGGAAGTTATTTTTCAGGCTGAAAATCAACTGCGTCTGGCAAGAAAAATGATGCTTTGGAAACCATGGGAGCCTTTAGTGGAAGAGCCTCCTGCCAATCAGTGGAAGTGGCCAATATAATCCTCATTAAGGGATTTTGCTGTGTTGATGAGAAAGTGATAAAATTAAATGTTCTATTATATTATTAAGATGGTTCCATATTGCTGACATCTTAAAATCAAGAAGCTTGACAGTAGAATATATTTAGGGCACTTACAAAAATTAGCAATTACTTTGATACCAGGGACTTATGAGCCAATTTTTTAGATCATAAAGCATTTACTCAAATTACTTCAAAGAAGAAAATCTTTAAATAGATCAAGATTGTGGGAAGATTTTAATGTTATTTATTTTAAAATCCTACAAATCTTCAGTGCAGAGGTCATAACCAGAGGTGAATATATTCTAGTGGTATCTTAAGCACATCAGTTAATTTGTTTCTTCTTACCCCAGAAAAAAATAGGAAGGAGATACCTATTACTGTTTTTGTCTCAAGTTTCTATGTCACTGCTTGCAGTGAATTGGGAAGAGTAAAGCTGTTTAATGTCATGAAAAGAAACTGGTAATAACATTTTAAATTGGGCTTATTAACCTCTTTGGCTTTGAATTAAAATTTAAGTATATAACTATAAAAAAAAAAGATGGAAGGAATACACAGAGTCACTGTAACAAAAAGAAATGGTTAATGTTCAACCGTTAAAAGAGGTAGCATATGATCGAGAGGCAATGCGACTACAGCAAAAAGTCCAAGATGCATCGAAGGCATTGGAAAAGAATATAGCTCCTGGAATTGGCGGAATACAAATGGAAATCTTCCAACAAACTGAGGCAGCACTGGAGGCACTCATTCATCTATGTCACGAAATTTGGAAGACCAACACCTGGCCAACTGATTGGAAGAGATCCATATTATGCCCATTCCCAAGAGAGGTAACCCAACAGAATACAGAAATTATTGGGCAATATTATGATATCACCTGCAAGTAAAATTTTGCTAAAGGTAATTTAAAAACAGCTGCAATAGGACATTGACAGGAAACTGCAAGAGGTTCAAGCCAGATTCAGAAAAGGATGTGGATTGAGGGATATCATTGCTGACATCAGGTGGATCTTGGCTGAATGCAGAGGATGCCAGAAAGAACGCAAAGGCCTTCAACTGGGTGGATCATGACAAGCAATGGACAACATTTCAGAGAATGAGTATTCCAGAACACTTAACTGTGCTCATGAGGAACCTGTACATAGACAAGAGGCAAATGTTTGACCAGGAAAAGGAAACAACGAATGGTTTAAAATTAGGAAAGGTGTGTGCCAGGGTTGTATTCTTTTAACATACTTATTCAATCTGTATGCTGAGCAAATAATCTGAGAAGCTGGATTATATGAAGAAAATGTGGCATTGAGTTTGGAGGAAGACTCATTAACAACCTAAGATATACAGATGATACAACACTGCTTTCTGAAAGTGATATAATACAATATACTTAATATACTTACTGATGAAGATCAAAGACCATAGCCTTCAGTATGGGTCGCACCTCAATGTTTAAAAAAAAAAATCCTCACCACTGGACCAATAAACAACATTCTTATCAATGGGCAAAAGATTGAAGTTGTCAAAGGCTTCATTTTGTTCAGTTCAATGATCAACACTCATGGAAGCAGCAGTCAAGAAATCAAATGGTGTATTGCATTGGGCAAATCTGCTGCACAAGACCTCTTCAAATTGTTGAAGAGCAAAGATGTCAGTTTGAGGACTAAGGTGTGTCTGACCTAAGTCATGGTATTTTCAATAACTCCATATGCATATGAGTTGGACAATGAATAAGGAAGACTGTAGAAGAATTTATACACTTGAGTTATGGTATTGGAGGAGAATATTGAAAGTACCATAGACTGCCAGAAGAGCAAACAAATCTGTTTTGGAAGAAGTACAGCCACAATGCTCTTTAGAAGCCAGGATGGTGAGACATCATCATAGTCTCTGAAGAAGGACATCATGCTTGGTAAATTGGAGGGTCAACAAAAAAGAGGAAGACCTCTGGTGAGATGGACAGGCACAGTGGCAGCTGTAGTGGGCTCAAGTGTAACAGCGATTGTTGAGGATGGGGCAAGATGGGGCAATGTTTTGTTCTGGGGCTGACTCGATGACACAACAGAAACAAACTGTGAGAAAGTGAACTTCTTTTCGTTAAAGTTGTCTCCTTGTGGTATTTGCTGTAGTGGTGGTGGTGATTATGTGCTGTGGAGTTGGTTCATTTGTGATTGTAGCGTTACGTAAGTAAGACACCAGGTTACGGAGGTTTAATTTAGTTTTGGTTTTTTAAAGTTTTTACCGTGAATTGAGTGATACTTTAGATAGGAGAACGTATGAGAGATGAAGACTGGCCATCCTGGCCTCCAAGGAACATTTGGGCTGTACTTCTTCCAACACAGATCTGTTGGTTCTTTTGGTAGCCCATGGCACTTTCAATATTCTCCTCCAACACCATAACACAAAAGCATCACTTCTTCTATGGTCTTCTTTTTCATTGTCCAGCTTGCACATGCATATGAGGTTATTGAAAATACCATGGTTTGGGTCAGGCACACCTTAGTCCTCAAGTTGACATCTTTGCTCTTCAACACTTTAAAAAGATCTTATGCAGCAGATTTGCCTAATGCAGTGCATTGTTTTATTTCCTGACTGCTGCTTCCATGAGTGTTGATGGGTGATTCGAGCATGGTTGGATCAGGTAGTATTGCTATTTTCCCATTGTAGAGATGAGAGAAACTGAGGCTTACAGAGAAGACACAGTGGGTTAGCGGAGAGCTGGGGACCACAGAAGACAAGGATAATCACTCTCTGGCATAAGAATTGACAACCCTTTCCAGTTTCTTGTTTGTTTTTTAGCTTCATTTCAGCATATTTTGATATATGTACAGAAAGTGAGTCCTGGTGTGGCGCTTGTAGTATCAGCACTTCACTGCTAACCACAAGTTCGGTGGTTCAAACCCACCAGCCACTCCTCGGAAACCCTACACAGTGGGTCACTATGAGTCAGAACCAACTGGACTAAAAAACAGAAAGTAAAAAGTTTGATGCTATGTTGTCAATTTTTCCTTTTACAGTCTCTTCTTAGATCTCTTCTGTGCCCAAGTAGGTAAACAGAGACTCCTATGTTTTCTTTTAATACTTTCATGGCTTCTCTTTAACATTTATGTCTGTAAGTTGAATCTGGAATTAATTTTGAGGAAAGCAATGATTTGCTTCCCCCCCCCATGAAATCCTGTTTTGAATAACTTCTTCTTTTTCTGGTTTAACACTGGGCTAATTGTTACACTGTATGTTCTCTTTCCCAGATACAGGAATCGGGAACCACAAAATTACTCACTGGGCTCAGTCATGTGGAAACCCCCCTTGTTCCCCCGCCCCTCGTGCTCGGTGCCTCCACTGCGCTCTGAGGCTGCTCTGGTCTGGCTGACGTCTGCCCCACAGTGGGTGGAAGGAATTCAGAGTAGCTCTGCTCACTCAGCAAACCTGGGAGCTGGGGGCCAGGCACGGTGGAAAGTCCACATGTGGTTTTTGAGTTAGAGGAAACCACAGAAATGATTCTGCCAGTTTCATGGAGGACCAGACAGTGTCCTGTCTGTATTGGCTTTGGAAGCCACACCTCCTTCCATCTCAAACAGGCTGACACCTTGAACTGGAGCAGGTGCCCACCAGGTGTTTCAGCTACAAATAGGAGTGCTCCTCAGGACATCAGGCAAGACCAGCCTTGTTGCCTTCTGGAGCCTGGGGAGGCCTGGGAGTGGTCCTCCTCCTTCTCAGTCAGCTGTAGGGAAGGCAGCAGGCCTGATGAAGCCATCGCTCAGGAAGACTTGATGAAGCCTCTTTGTGCAGAGGGGCCTGGTACGAGCTGGCTGGGTCCTCTCAGGCTTCAGCCTCATGCCTCAGGCTCTGCCCCTCCTTTGGGACACTCTCTCAAGCCTGGCTGCCCTGTGTCCTGCAGCTCCCAAGATCCCACGAGGTGCTCCAGTGGCCTGGAGAGCAGTCAGGAACAGAGCACGGGGTCCAGCCTTGGACTTTCTCTTCATCTCTCTCATACTCGTCTCCCTGGGCCTCAGTGTCTTCATTTAGAAGTTGGGGAGTAATACAATGAAGAAGCATTGATCCAGTGCCCATTCTGTGCCACTCAATGTGCCAGGGACTGAGGCACAAAAGGACTAAGACCTGGCCTGACCCTGAGGCTATGGTTTGGGAACACACTGTCCCCTCTGCTGGTGTTCCCCCCATTTTCCCTCCATTGCTCAGGGCATTCCGGGTCTGGACTGTTTGTACTTCTACCTGGAGGGATCATTACTGGTGTCTGTCCTCACCGGACTTCTTCAGAGGAAGATTTTGATTGTGCATGTGTGTGGGTAGAGCATCTCTACCTGTCTTCCTGAGTGTGGTAAAGCACACCTGGACAGCCCTGCCAGAATCTGCAAGGCCACGTTGTCAGGAAGCTGCCTCACTCAGTGACCCTGTGACCAAAAAGCCTGTGGTCTCACCTGCTCCCTGCTCAGGCCTTTGGGTCAATAGGACAGAACATTGCCCCTCACCCACGCATTTCCACACAGCCAACCCCTCTCCCCTCTGCTGAGGCTGTCTGTGAGTCATGGATGGGTTCATTCAGCAAGTATTTACGGAGTAGGCTGAACATGAACCACAGGCACGCACAGTCAAAATCTTCCTCTGAGGTTCAGTCCAGTGAGGACAGACACCAGGAATGATCCCTTCAGGTAGAAGTACAAACAGTCCAGACCTGGAGTGCATTCGAGACACTGGCCTCTGGGCTTAGCCCACCTCCTCCGTGGCCGTACTCCCTAGATGTGGACAGTAATGATGGTCAGCAATGCTGGAGATGGAGCCCCAGAGGGTGAGGGTGGGAAGAAAGCGGTGTGATCACCCAGGTTTGTAAGGTGGGGACCTTGAGGTGCAGGGAAGGAAGGGATGAAAGCCAGGTCTTGTGAAGAGATGGCAGCAGGGTTGTGTCTGGAGCCCTGCCTTGCTGGTCACTTGAATGTCATTGGAATGAGTACCATCATATGAGCAGACTGTCAGAGATGTCAGTCCCTCAGTGTCACAGAGCCCCCCACCCCACCCCAGCCCATCTCACCCCATGAAGCCACAATTTCAAAAGACACTCTTACTAAAGGGTCTGATCTCAGTGGAGAAATCAGGAAATGCCATCATTTTCACCCAAATGTGCTCTCCCTCTCCCAAGCAACTGGAGACTTTTTTTTCTCACTTGCTAGGTATAGAACTGTCTCGTGTTAAGGTATTAAAATATCAAGTCCAATTTAAATAAAAGCTTCCATTTCTCCTCCAAATCCCTTCCCACCCTGGACCTCCCCAGCATACACGAATCCCACAATTCCCAGACCTGTTCCTTCTCATTCTTGCTCTGCCTCTCTCCCTAGCATGGGAGCTCCTGGCTCTCTCAGGCAGGGGGAAGTCCAGGAAGGGCAAAGTGTGCCTTCTTGGAGCTGTGGTCTTCTAGCCGTGGTGTGCCCTACTTAATAGCTTTGCCTGCATGCTCTCCATCACCCTGACTTTAGCTCCCAGGAGAGTCTGCAGGCTGTTTCACTCCGTGGTGGTGGCCTCTCTCACTGATGTTTGCAGTGGACCCTACTCGACTTCCGGTTCTTTCTGAATGGCCCTCAGAGGTGTGTCCTTGGCCCATACACGCCCTGTCAGAGGGAGAGGTGCAAACCACACGCCTGCTTTCCTTGCCCTCTCTCCAACCCCGTTGGCCAGCTGTAGGAGAAGAATGTGCCACACTCTGCTAACAAGATGTGCAGCAGCAAAGTCCTGCAGGCCAAGATCGCCTCACCAGAAGGCCCAGTTCTGCTATGGCGCCCTAGGCAGACTTTCACTGAGGGGAGGGCCAGGATGCAGCAATCCATAAATACCTCTGTCAGGAAGCTGGGGATGGTGGTGGGGGTGTGTGGCAGAGAATCCAGATGACCAGCAGACCTGCACAAAGAATGCCAGTGTCTGGAGCACTTACATGTGAGCCATGAGCAACCTGGGTTTTGAGGGGATGAGTGAAGTCATGGGCTCTTATCCAGGCCTGGCCCTAGGATGGTGAGTTTCATGTCTCCTGCATCCACCTTGGTTACTCCTCATGGAGGGACGGCCATTCCCTTGCAGGCCATGTGGGCCACTTTGTCCTAGGCAGAGCCTCAGGCCCATGTCTAAAGGACTTCCTGGGTGCATATCCACCTGAGGGGAGCCCCAGGCCGCACCCACTATGAAGGATCTCTGGGCCTAGAAGGAATCAGTTGCCTGCTTTCTCTTCCTGCCCAGACCCTCTCCCCTCCCTGAGAGCTGAGTTTTTCAGGAGAATTTTTGCTCATGTTCCCACTGATGAATCACTGGGGCTGAGAAGAGGCCTGCTTTATTTTCATGTTTTAAAAAAGATTTCTGTTTTCACCTTTGGAGATGTCACTCCAAATCCTATCCATGTGATAAGTCAGCAAAACACAGACCTTGTTCTGAGGGAAGGACATTCCCTAGGCCCCTCACCCATACAGATCTCCCTCCTGGACACACTGAGCACATTCCAAGACATTCCAAGACAAAGTTTCCAGAGTCATGACTCAGAGGTTTACAGAGGCAGTAATGGGAAAGAGCTTGCTTCACCCTCCTAACCACGAGACCAGCAGGGGCGATGTGGCAGGCCAGGAAACTCTAATAGTCTGGGCAGACTTGGTCTCTGAAGAGAAATGACTAGGACTCAGCTCCATCCCCAGGGGTGTGTGTGTGTGTGCTTGAGTATGCTGACCCTCACTCTTGTGGCCATGACAGGAGCATGGTCAATGCCCTCCTTATCCAGTGGGAGTGGCCCTGGAGAACATGTCGGGGAAGGGCAGAGATAGGATTGATTCCAGAGACCAGCTCTTGACTATAGAGTAGTACCACAGTACCCAGATGATCTTGTCAAGGCTGTAATTGCTCTGAACTTGACCGGCATTTAGACCACTCCCCACCCCCTTTTTATTTCCTTTTTTGAACACTTACTCCTTCTAGGAGGAGTACTGTTTGGAGCTCTGGCCTTAGCTGTGATGCTCAGTTGGGCTCCGACATGTGCCCCTCATGAAGCCTCATAGTAAATGGCTGGCACACATAGTCGAACTCTTTATGCCTAACTCGTGACAGGCATTACTAACCCTTCCTAGGACTCTCTGACTACCCAATTCAGGTGCTCATGATAGCGGCAGCTATTGTAAATGCCATTTAAAAACCCGACTCTGATGAGAAGAAGACAAGTATGGTGGGATCTCAGCTGATGGGAAAGAATTGTACCCCTCAGGGTTGTTGTTAATTGCCATTGAGTTGGTTCTGACTCATCGTGACCCTGTCTAGGGTTTCTGATCTAGTGATTTTTATTTATTTATTTTTCCTCAGCTGCTCCCTCTTTCCATGTCCCCATCTCTGCTTCCATCTCTGGTATCACTACTTTTCTGGATAGGGTCTCGCATTCTGTTCATACTCTTCTCCCTTGATGGTCCTAGGGTCCTCTGTTTCTGGACTGTAAAATGAACTACTTCCCTGTTTTTGTTATAGAACTTCTACCTTTACAATTGTGACAGTCGCAATTAGTCACTATGACGTATAGGAATCTTATCCCCATCTCTTTTAACCAGACCCATCTAGACAAGATGAAAACTATTCAGTGGAGATTCTATCTTCCCCCACACACTATTAAACTCCCTCTTGAAAACTTGTAAGCCAGTCACTTCGTGCCTTTATCATCCCCTCATTTTCAACCTTGTGATTTAAACTGACCTAGGAGTCCTGGTGTGGCGCTGTGGGTTAATGCGCTGGATTGCAAGGTCGCTTTGAACAGCAAGGTTGGCGGTTCAAGCTCACCAACTGCTCCTCGGAAACCCTATACAGGGTCGCTGTGGGTTGGTATCGACTCAACAGCACTTACCAGCAGCAGCAGTGGCCTGCAGTACCACACCAGACTCCACTCCTCAGAGTTGTTGTTGTTGTTGTTGTTGTTATTAAGTGCCGTTGAGTCGGTCCCAACTCAGAGTCATCCTGTATAAGGTTTATGAGGAATGGCTGGTGGGTTTGAACCGCCAAACCTTGTGGTTAGCAGTCCAGTGCTTGTCCTACAGTGCCACACCAGGACTCCCCCTGCCTCCCATGGTGTGGGGTGTGAGTTGTGGGGGTCTTGGTACTCCAGATATCTGCACCTCATATTTGGGGGTGTGTGTGTGGAGACAATGGATGGATACTGTTTTCATTGAACTTTCCACCACAGAGCTTTTTTTCTTGTTGGCTCTAGAGTGCTAATGCCAGTCTCCTAGCTGGTCCAGGCCCCCATGGACAGTGTTTGGTCTCCTGTGTCTTGCAGGGAACTGGCCTCTTAGGTGCTGCCCATGACACTGCCCCTTGAGTGTGACTTAGCTCACCCTTTGTTCTGTTCCATGTGTTCATGCGCGGGAGAGGCCAGGTAAACAGGTTCATTCCCACCAGGACTCAGGCACCCCTCCTGGGAGTGCCGGGTGGCCCAAGCTCTTGACCTTGTATGCTCGGACCCGGGAGGAGAGGGGATAATGTCATGTCGTCACAGGCCAGCTCCTGGTCCTCTGAGTCCCCGCTGAGTCCCGAAGTGGTGGTCAGCCTCTGTTCCTCCAGTCCCGCGCAGAGTGCCTGTGTTCGCTGCGTGACTGAATGAGGCCGGACAGCCACTAGAATGGGGCTGGTGATAATCGGGCGGGGCCTGGCCAAGCCAAAGCTCTAAACATGGAAAAGATGGGACGCATCGGAGCCCCTGACTTCCCCAGGCGGCCCTCTGAAGTGGAAAGGGTCCCGGAAGTTCGCTATTCCCGGGAGTTCCCAGGGGGCTACCGGTCACCTCTAGAGGGCTCGGCTAGGGCGTCTCTCTCTGAATCCTAGTTTACAGGAGGTGCGGAGAGTGGGTGGGGGTGTGGTGTGGGGGAGGGGGGGTCGAGCTCCCTCGGATCCCCCACCTCCCAGACCTGGTAGACGGCCTCTAGCCAGGCCACTCCGGCAGTTCGCGCCCAGGGAGCTGCCAAGTGCGCTGCTTAGTCCCAGCGGTCGGCGCGGGCTCCTCCCCATCCGCCCCCGCGCCCCTCCGCCCGGGCTCCGGAAGACTTGGAGAGGTGGTCCGAGAGGCACAGAGCGCGCGGGCGCGGAAGCCGGGAGGGCCTGCATCTTCTAGCCCCTCGGGGATCCCCTCCGCCCCCTGTGTCCAGGGTCCCCAGGAGCGCGGCCTCATGGCGCCCCTGCTCGGCTGCCTCCTGCTGCTGCTGGCGCTGTGTCCCTGGGGGCGCCCTCAGACCGTGCTGACTGACGATGAGATCGAGGAGTTCCTCGAGGGCTTTCTGTCCGAAGTGGAGCCACAGACCGGAGAGGACGACGGAGAGCCCACCCCGCCGGTCCGCAAAATCCAGACAGAGGGCAAGAAGGAGGCGCGGCCGGGGGCAGCAAGAGAGGGTAAGAGCCGGGATGCGAAGTGGTTTGGGCTAGTATGAAGCCAGTGGTGCGCGCAGGGTCTGTGCGCCCCGCAATCTGCCCAGGTGGGCACGCTCCGTAGCGCACTAGCCTCTACTGAGCCCCATCCTTTTCAGGATGAGGGGTGGGGGGCGGGAGGCGAAGGAAGGGTAGGGTGCGGCCCCTGCTGGCTTATCAGGTTTAGCCTTGGCGCACCGGGCAGGCACGCCTCTAAGGAGTTGGGGGCTCAGATAATTAATCGCAGAGGCTCGAGGCTTGAGCCAAATGGGGCTGCTGGTCTCTCTTCGACCTCTCTCCGAGTCTGGGTTATGTCGCAGGCTTACTGTTCCAATAGGGGCACTCAGACCTTTGCTGGGAGGGAATACTAATGCAGCAGAGAGGGAGGGCCTCCAGAGTTCCCACTCCCACCCCACCCCAGACTCCTAGGGGTAGTGTGTTGTTAAGTTCTGTCGGGTTCAACTCATAGCCACCCTGTATAGGGTTTTCAAGGAGCGGTTGGTGGATTTGAACCGCTCACCTTGTGGCTAATGTTGTTGTTAGGTGCCATCGAGTGGGTGCCGACTCATAGCGACCTTATGCACAGAGGAACAAAACGCTGCCGGATCCTGGGCCAACCTCACAATTGTTGCCACGCTTGAGCCCATTGATGCTGCCACTTGGCCAATCCCTGTCGCTAGGGGTCTTCCTCTTTTTCTCTGATCCTCCACCTTACCAAACATGATATCCTTCTTCAGCAACTGGTCCCTCCTGAAAATATTTTTACAGCTGTTTCTCTTCATTCTGAGTTGTGCCCCATCAGCAAATGAAGTTCCCAGTGGGTTTTACTTCCACAGACTTTACTCCATTTGCACCATCACAGTCAACTTTACTTTGAGGAGGCAGCTCTTTCTCTAGTTGCATTTTGAGTGCCCTCCAACCTGAGGGGCTCATTATCCGGCACTATATCTGACAGTGTTTCTGTGCTATTCATAAGATTTTCAGGGACTAAATGTTCAGAAGTAGTTCATCACTCCTTCTTCCTAGTTTGTTGGCTAATTAGCGGTGCTTATCTGATAGCACCACACCAGGACTCCAGCAGGGGTAGGGGGCAGTCCTTGAGTATGACTACTGGGGTGATGCACTAAGGAATTATTTCACTCAGGGCTTCTTACATAATCAGTTGTCAATAAATCTTAGCTGTTTATTGTGATCTCAGAAGGGTGTCAGATAGATCTGTTTCTCTCTCTCCCACAAGGCACGGTAGTCAATCATTCCTGAGGTTCAGCAGGCTTTGCTCCTACAGTCCTAGCTGTAGATCTTTCTGGTCAACCCCTGGGTTGACCCTCTGGGCAGGTCTTGGAACCCGCTTTGCCTCCCACCCCAATTCCTGGGTTCTTGGATGTGTTGGCAGCTCTTGCTCAGGGCCCTGAAGGAGCTCTGGTAGTACTGTGAGTTACTTGTTGGGCTGCTAACCAAAATGTGGCCCTTCCAAACCACCAGTTCCTCCCTGGGAGAAAGAAGAGGCTATCTGCTCGCAGAAAGATGTCTAGCACCTCTATACAGGGTCGCTGAGTCAGAACTGCGTAAATGGTAGTGAGTTTGGGGATGGGCTCAGAGTCTTGGGAAGATTCCTATCAGCCAGTCTTATGCCTGGACCCTTGTTCCTTCCCCAGGGCTCTGAGTGAGGCCAAGGCAGAAGAGGTGACAGGCTGCCCCAAGCCCCCTCCTGTCCTCTGTGAGGCCCAGGGACCTTATCTAGATCACTTCTTTGGATTCCAAGACCTACGCAGTATTCCCTTTTCTTTGATGCTGTTCTTGTCCCTGCAGGGAGGTTTCAGGGAAGGCCCTGGGTGAGGAATGATACTGCCGCCCCCTTGGCCACATACCTCCAGGGCTGAGTAGTTGGTTCCCACCGACCCCGCCCAGGCTATGGACTGGGGATGCAGTGAGGATTGGGTTTCGAGGGGGACCTTGCTGAGGATCTGGCAACTGGGGAGCCAGGGCCTTTTCAATGGGAATTGAGTGCCCTGTGCTCTGTCCTCAGAGTGGTGACAGCCCTAGATGAGCTATAGAAAGCCCAGGTTCAAACGTCAGTGCTGCCTCTTAGAAAAGTGCCTGAGCCTCAGGTCCCGGTCGGTATGAAGCACTCATAGGAGTCCTTGTGCTCAGTCTGTTGGGGAATAGAGGGGCTCTCCGTCCATTTGACTTCAATGTGAATTTCTGATAGCACCTCTGGAAAAGGCTAAAGACAAAGGAAAGAAAGGGAAGAAGGACAAAGGTGCCAAGCCAACTAAGCTGTCCTCAGAGGGGCCTCCCAGGCCAACCAAGAAGCCCAAGGAGAAGCCACCCAAGGCTACCAAGAAGCCCAAGGAGAAGCCACCCAAGGCCACCAAGAAGCCCAAGGAGAAACCACCCAAGGCCACCAAGAAGCCCAAGGAGAAGCCACCCAAGGCCACCAAGAGGCCTATAGCTGGAAAGAGACCACCCACCCTGACCCCCACAGAGGTGCCGGAGTGGCCGCTGCCCTTGCTCCCCAAGGAAATACCCCAGGAGGGAGGTATGTATTAGGGCTCTTCCAGAGTGGGGCTCTGGCCTGCTAGGATATGGGCAAGATGGTGGAAAGATGGGTTCATAGACCGCTGCTTCCTGTAGACCCTCAAGTTCTGCCATTGATAGGGTGGATTCTTGGACCTTGTTTTGATGAACTCTGGCAATCTGATGGGTAAGGAGAGGAATTGGTGGCCTTGTGGAAGGGCTTTGTTCTTTACTGTTCTGGGGTCACCATCCCCTGGCTCTGTCCAGAACCCTTCTACTCGTACAACACTGGCATCTGAGCCTGAAGGGTAATAGCACCGAGACACTGAGGCTCACCCTTCTTCTGCTGGGGTCTCTAATGCCCACCTGCTCTGGGAGTGTCTGTGTTGCAGGTGGGGCTCTCCCAAATCCTGGCAGAGTTTGGAAGGAGAGGAGCCAGGCCTGGTGTCACAAAGCACCAGCCTGGTGTCTGGCCTCAACATGAGAGTGACTAATTGCCCCAGTATGCCTGAGACCAGCAAGTTTCTTGGCACTCAGGACTTTCCATCTAAAATTTGGACAGTTGTAGCCACACTGGGGCTGTTTAATAGATGTTAGCTTTCATAGTTAGTAGTAGTTAGGATCTGGGTGGGGGTCTTCAGCAGCGCTGCTATGAGTGTTTTCTCCCTAGAACTGGAGGAGGAGCTGCCCACACTGGACTATAATGACCAGATAGAGCGGGAAGACTACGAAGACTGTGAGTAGGGTGCCGTCCATCCCCTGTGGGCCCGCCTTGTCTGCATTGAAGTCCCTGGCAGGGCCTCGGGCCTGGGGGCCTGGGTGGCCAGCCTCAGTGCCCCTTCCTCCTCAGTTGAGTACATCCAGCGCCGGAAGCAGCCCAGACCCTCACCGAACAGGAGGAAGCCTGAGAAGCCTGAAGAAAATTCTGCACCCACTCTGCCCCGGCTGGTGGTTGAGGACCTGGAGGAGGGGACCGGTAGGACCGTGGCATCCTCCCTGGGGCTCTGGATGGCAAGGCAGGAGAGATGACTTGCGGGGAGAACAGGGATCTGGTTATAGGGGTGGGGCTGGGCCTGTGGTTGGAGGTCCCGAGGGCTCTGAGCCCATTTTACCCCTTGTATCCACAGAGCAGCCCCTGGAGCCCCCACCACCCCCACCCAGCCCTGACTATGGTGATGGCTATGTGATCCCTGACTACGACAACAGTGAGTGCCCAGGGCCTGGGCCTGGCCGATGCCCAGGGAGCAAAACCAAGACCACAGTGTCCAAACGAGAGCAGAACTGTGATGCCCCCAGCCCCTGTCCCCTCATGTTCATTCTTTCTTAGCTACTGTCCTTCCTCCTGGCTTTGCTTTTGCCACCACTGGGGGGTTGGGAGGATGGTCCTAGGCTCCTGCCATCCCTCCCCACCCCCAGCACAGGGCCCTGTTGGTGCCTTGGTTTCTTCTGCTTCCTCAGCATCTCCCGTAGGTGGGACCTGCTGGTGTGCGTCCCTGTCAAAGGTTGTAGGCCCTATTAGGTTTTCCTCACTTCCCCTGCCCCAGGCTCCCCAAAGTGGTCAGGATGACATTTTCCCAGGTTTCTGTTCAGGGCATTGCCCTCTGAAATCCTCTCCTCTGCCCAGTGAAATCCTAACCCTCTTGGTGGCCTTTCCTGGCGCTAGGTCCAGCCACCATCCCAGGCCTGCCAATGCCCCATACCTAGCTCCCTCCAGCTTTGATCCCCACTTTCCTCAGGTGAAAGACCCAAGGCCAGAATGCTCACTATACTTCCATCCTATGCATCCCCGTGTGTTCTGAGGCTGTTGTCTGTCCTGGCCGTGTTGTTCCTCCTCAGTCTGGGCTCTGTGAGTCTGGGGTACCTCACAGCGCCCAGGTCGAGGATGGGGAGCAGGTATTTCAGTAGGCCTTTCCCTCCCTCAGTTGACTACTACTTCCGGCTTCCTCAGCCTCCAAAGCCAGATGCTGGACCCGATGAAGAGGAGACATTGAGTGAGTCCGTGGGGAGAAAGAAGCAGCGGTTCTGTCTCCCACCTTTGACATGTCCTCCTACAGCCCAGGCCCAGGGCTCGGCTCACAGGCTTTGCTTTTATTTTCAGGGAAAACCAAAAAGGAGGAGAAGGACAAGTGGGCAGTGGAGAAGGGCAAAGATCACAAAGGTGGGGGGCAGAACTGGGGCATGAGGGGTCCCGTAGGGCTGAGGCTGGTGGTGGGGGAGCATCTGAACTCCTGGTGTTCTGGGCCCCTCAGCGGCAACCCTCCCTTTGTTGCTCCCCAGGGAAGAGTGAGGAAGATGAGTGGGCTCCAGTGGAGAAAATCAGTGAGTCCATCCTTCAGGGTGGGGATGCCCAAGCCCCAAATCCTGCGACCCAGGCCCAGGCCCAGATTCCCTGTGGTCTGCCACTCCTACACAAAACCCCTGCGTACTCCTGAATTCCTGGGGCCCCGGCTGGCTCTGCTAGGGCAGAGCAGCGCTCTCTGGGGCCTTCGAGCTCTGGTGGGTGTGGAGGAGGGAGGACAGGGCCTGGGGTGGTAAAGGGAACCCTCAGTCTCTGAGGATGATATCTTTGGCAGTCAGCTAGGCATGTCTCCTGGGATTGGCTTCCTGGCAAATTCACACGAGCCTTGTGCCCACTCAGGACTGGGCATCATTGCCAATTCTTCAGATAGCCTGAGGTCTGAGAAGTGAAGGGACAGGCTAGGAATTGGGAGCAGCTTGTGACTTCAGTTTGGGTCACACGGGGGGTGGACTGGGTCAGCCGGGCATTGGGGGACTGGTGGCTCCATTGTCCCCACTGATTCAGTGGGCGCTGAGGTGCGTCTTCCTCCTTGCTGTGATGAGCATGGGCACTGGTGGTTTGGAACTGGCCCTGTGGGTGGTAGAGGGAGGGGTGAAGTCAATGGGCCTGCACCCTGGGGTGCCATGTCCCCAGAATGCCCCCCTGTTGGAATGGAGTCACACCGAATTGAGGACAACCAGATCCGAGCCTCTTCCATGCTGCGGCACGGCCTGGGGGCCCAGCGTGGACGACTTAACATGCAGGTGGGCACCCTGGGTGGCTTCTCCCAGCCTGGGCGGGGGTTCCCCCTGCTCCCACTCAGGCCCTCCACCCACTCCCCTCAGGCGGGCCCCAATGAAGATGATTACTACGATGGGGCGTGGTGTGCTGAGGATGACCCTCGGACGCAGTGGATCGAGGTGGACACCAGGAGGACCACCAGATTCACCGGTGTCATCACCCAGGGCCGTGACTCCAGCATCCAGTATGCTGCTGGGGCGCTCACTGGGTTGGGCTGGGCTGAGTGCAGGAGGGTCTGGAGTTACAGGCTGCTGTATGTGTGCTCCCTAGCCCTGTCACATTGAAACGGTTTCCAGATGAGCAGACCAGGGTGGAGGGAACATGTGGCCTGCCCAGGGTTTCTGGAAGCCAGTCCACAAACCTCCACCCCTCTTCCTGCTGCAGCAGAGCGGCCGGGATGATAGAAAGGCCTTGCTGATGGGGGCATCCTCTCTGTCCTCCACAGTGATGACTATGTGACCACTTTCTTTGTGGGATTCAGCAATGACAGCCAGACATGGATGATGTACAGTAACGGTTATGAGGAAATGGTGAGCACCTCCTCCTGGAGCCCAGCTCTGCCCCGTGGGCTGTGGCCAAGTGGGTGGCTTCCCTGAGGCTCTCTCTATCTGCCCCCAGACCTTTCGAGGGAATGTGGACAAGGACACGCCAGTGCTGAGTGAGTTCCCGGAGCCAGTGGTGGCCCGCTTCATACGCATCTACCCCCTCACCTGGAACGGCAGCCTCTGTATGCGCCTTGAAGTGCTCGGCTGCCCCTTGGCCCGTGAGTGATGAGGGTGGGGCCGCGCAGGTTGGGGGAGATGCCAGGAGGTGGCTGGGTGCTCATGGCTCACCCACCCCTGTAGCTGTCCACAGCTACTACGTACAGAACGAAGTGGTGGCCACTGACAACTTGGACTTCCGTCACCACAGCTACAAGGACATGCGCCAGGTGAGGCGGGTCCTTCTGAGCCTGGTAGTGTCATCTTTGCTCAGGGGTGGGCAGCGGGTGGGTTACTTCCCACCAATAGTTGATGGCCACTACACCTGTGTGTCACCACAGCTGAGCCTTGTGGCCCTTGCTGGTCCCCTAGAGGGAAGCTGGCAGCCCCTCACCTGAGGAAATGCTGAGCCCAGGCTCCTCGGGACCATCTCCACCCAGCAGTGGTCCCCAGTGACCCCCTCCTCTAGGAGTTCTTAAAACCGGGGCTCCTCTGCAGATAGTGGGAGTGGCTGGGGCCCAGTGACTTGGGGAGGGGTGGTAGGCTCTGATCCTCTGCCCACCCCCTTCAGCTGATGAAGATGGTGAACGAGGAGTGTCCCACCATCACCCGCACCTACAGCCTGGGGAAGAGCTCACGCGGACTAAAGATCTATGCCATGGAGATCTCCGACAACCCTGGCGAGCATGAGCTAGGTGAGCAGCCTGTGGCTAGTCTTGGCACCGTCCCCGTCCTCCATCCCTTGGACCGCTAAGCTCAGCGGCCAGGTGCTTGCTCCTGCCCTTGCAGGGGAGCCCGAGTTCCGCTACACAGCAGGAATCCATGGCAACGAGGTGCTGGGCCGCGAGTTGCTGCTGTTCCTCATGCAGTACATGTGCCGTGAGTACCGCGACGGGAACCCGCGCGTGCGCAGCTTGGTGCACGACACTCGGATCCACTTGGTACCCTCGCTGAACCCCGATGGCTACGAGGTGGCAGCTCAGACGGTGGGTAGGTTAGGTGGGCAGTGAGGGCAGGGCTGCAGCTGGGCAGCGGGCCCTGACTGGCCGGTTCCTGACAGGGCTCAGAGTTTGGGAACTGGGCGCTGGGGCTCTGGACGGAGGAGGGCTTTGACATCTTCGAGGACTTCCCGAATCTCAATTCCGTGCTTTGGGCTGCCGAGGAGAAGAAATGGGTCCCTTACAGGGTCCCCAACAACAACCTACCCATTCCTGAGCGTTACCTCTCCCCAGACGCCACGGTGAGACCCTAACAGGGCCCTAGCCAGACTCAATCCCAGATGCTCAGGCTAAAGGGCCTGGGTTTGAGCCTGCTGTCTGCCATCTGCCCATCACATAACTGCGTGAAGGCAGGCGTCTGGCCTCATTTGTCCTCACTGATGACTCACAGGTGTCCACAGAAGTCCGGGCCATTATCGCCTGGATGGAGAAGAACCCCTTCGTGTTGGGAGCGAACTTGAACGGTGGCGAGCGGCTTGTGTCCTACCCCTATGACATGGCCCGCACGCTGAGCCAGGAGCAGCTGCTGGCTGCGGCTAGGGCAGCTGCCTTGGGAGAGGATGAGGATGAGGCGTCTGAAACCCAGGAGACCCCCGACCACGCCATCTTCCGCTGGCTGGCCATCTCCTTTGCCTCCACTCACCTCACTATGACTGAGCCCTATCGCGGAGGGTGCCAGGCTCAGGATTACACCAGCGGCAAGGGCATCATCAACGGGGCCAAGTGGAACCCCAGATCAGGGAGTGAGTGAGGCTCAGGGGGCGTGGGGGAGACAAGGTGAGGGTAGGGTGGTGACGCTGGCTGTTCCTGCTCCAGCTATCAACGACTTTAGTTACCTGCACACCAACTGCCTGGAGCTCTCAGTCTACCTGGGTTGTGACAAGTTCCCACACGAGAGTGAGCTATCGCGAGAGTGGGAGAACAACAAGGAAGCCCTGCTCACCTTTATGGAGCAGGTAGGTATCTGTGGGCGGGGCATCAGAGGGCCAAGGACTGGGTCAATGGAGGCCCGTGGAGGCCCTGTGAGCAGCAGCCTACCGCCGCCCCCCCTCCTTGCAGGTGCACCGGGGCATCAAAGGGGTAGTGACAGATGAACAGGGCGTTCCTATTGCCAATGCTACCATCTCCGTGAGTGGCATCAACCATGGTGTGAAGACAGGTACTGCATGTGCCCGCCCTGTACCCCACCTTCCCTGAGAGACCCGGTTGGGGTGGGGTGGGGGCTCAGGAACGCTGAGACAGACCACTGGTTCCCACTCTGCAGCATGTGGGGGTGGGGTGGGGGCTCAGGAACGCTGAGACA